CAAATAAAGCAATGTGCGCAAAGCAGTATACACTTTGAATGGGATGCCAGTCCATTACAGGGCACACACAGACACAAACATGCACACATTTACACCAGTGCTAATTTTCCAAAAATCTAGTTAACCTACCAGTATGTCTTTGGACTGTGGGAGGAAACCTGGTACCTGGAACCTGTGTAAACACGAGGGAGAACATACAGACACCAAGTAGATAGCAGCGTGGGTCTAGAGCTGAACCCTGGGACCAAGCTCTGCAATGCTAACCACTGTGTCACCATGCTGCCCTGTAAACTGAAATATAATACTAAATTTCAAGTAGTAGGGAAGGGAACTTTTCTTCCGACTCAGACTTTCAGACTCTGCCTACTGCATAACTGATAAGAGTTTGTTTCCAAGGTTACCTCCCTCCTCACATGGAGTGCTGGGGTTCAGACAGGAAATGGCTTGTTGAAAAAAGCTCCTATGCAGCCCACCAGTAATCAAATGTCTTGAATACATATCAAGAATAAACAAACATATTAATTTGAAGTTATAGTTAGGAGCCGGCTGAAAACTTACTGTAAATGTATAGGAAAAAGAAAGACAATGGCAAACAGGACAGCACCTTCTTTTGCAGAAGTTTTAAAAGGGAGAGCACTGAATGATAAACATATGTTGGTGCAGGCTGAGACGCTGTAAATGTTAGAGTTAATGATGATGGCAACAAAACCAACAGCTAAGTCTTTTTCAGGTGCCAAAAGATTAATGACCCATCTTGCTTTTCCATTTTCAGCACCTCGATTGCCTTCCTTGTCAATCTCTGAAATGACCTTTCCATCACATGTGATTGAAATAGGGAAACTCATCATGGGTACGACATGAGAAAAATCAGCTGTGAGACTCTATTTATCCTCAAACAACAAAGACACATTGCAACACCATGGAATAACTGCATATACAATTGATGCTTTTTATATAAGACAGTACAATTCCAACGTCGGAAGTACAGGCAGAATTTAAAGAAATACTCATGCACACATGCATATCAGCATGGATTTTTCAATAAAAAGTTCCCTAGGGATTTGATACAGTACATGCAGCATGTACTACTGTATATATACCTCAACCATAGTAATACTATCACATAAATACTATCACACAAAACATCAGAGCCATTTACAAGACATGTCTGGTTGTATAGGCCCCAATTAACAATAGTCCTAGAAAAATATACCCAAATTTAAATTAAGCACTCCAAAATATATGCTCATCCTTGACCCCCAGCCATAACTGGGTTCACAAACATCATTGTTCTAAATAAATCTTGCAAAAAGCAATGTTTATAATGCCAGGTACTTGCGCAATCCAAGATTGCGTTAGAATTAAGGTTTCTCGCAGTCATCTAGCCTCCAAAACAAACTCTACTTTGCTCTCCTGCTGCTCTGTTACTTACAACCTTGGTTTTTTATAGCAAAGAGCCTTGCCAGGTGGATGCTGCACATTCGTGTTTGTGGAGTGGAGTCCCCATTACCTGTAAAGCGTTTTGAGTGGAGTGTCCAGAAAAGCGCTATATAAGTGTAAGCAATTATTATTATTATTATTGCCAGAACAGAAAGCCTTCAGGCTTCATGGACAATCTAATAACATACAGGACACTATAGCAAACTAACTTGCATTTACTTATATTTCACTCTAAGGACACCTTAATGAATCGCAGCTGAATAGAACCTTTAGTACCCCTACAAATCCTGTCAGTTCCAGCAACACTGTAGGATTAATCACATATTAATTTCCATTATGAACTTCATTCCAGAGATCTGCCAGATGTCACAGTGCTCATTTGCAGTCATAACGTACACAGTATTGACTGGGAAACCATTGCAAATCTAAAAACAAACCTTACAAGTGGTAAATAGAAACACAAGCTTGGATATACAAAAGAACGAATGAGTGAAAACTCAACAGCAAATTTCTTAAACCATCCATATTTATTCTCTTATTATATTACAGTTGAAGAGGAATTACACAAATAAACCATAAACAAAGGAGTTTCTTCTCATTGATTGATATTTCAATATTTATGTTCAGTCTTACAAAGTGGTGCACAGGTTTAATTGGTATTGCTGTGTAGAACTCAGTTGAAGATAAATCAAATAAGAGTATTATGTAGTCCTTATGTGGGCAGCTTTGACAGCACCAGTTCCATTTAATGTGTGATTCCTGTGATTTACACAGACGGCTTTTCATCACTGGAACAGTTCATATTCTGGAGCCTGGTCTGTTGTATTTTTTATAAGGAGAGGTAAATCCTGAGCTTACCACCTAACCGGCAGTAAAACCCAAATAATAGAATTCACTTGCACCACACACATCTGCCCAGAATTAACTTGCTGATATATATCTTCCAGTGCTTAAGGGAGAAAAAGTCACAGAAGACCAGTACTACTTCCAAAGAGTGACCTTCACAGTCAGTTCTATAGCCACCTGTAATTCACTGTTACTGTATATTTCTCAGTAAACATACTGTAAGCACCTTTGATGAACAAACGGCACATTTCTGTTTGTGTATAATAAGGTATACTGTAATCACATACCATTATGTATTTTTATAAGGCAGCTACAGGGAAATATACACTTCATCAAACAGGAAAAGCATTAAGATTCAGTATTTACTTATTCTCCAGCATACAAATACAGTACATACTGTATGTGACCGCACTGATAAAAAAGACCTAAATAAACTGTTGTAAACCCTGCAACTGTTATTAAAGTAAAAAAAAAAAGTTTTTCAGACTACAAAATGAATGACTTTAAAAATTCTACAAATTGTGTAAGGGCTCTATTATGGATTGTTAAACGAGACTCTAACAGGCGGTTATGTAGAGGTGATCGTGTGTTTTTCATATGAACATGAAAGAGTGAATTTATGCCTTGTACATTTTAAGTTCCTTATGCAATGTATACTTCACAAACACAACACCAGCCTTAACAATAAACTGGAACTCTAACCGTAATGCTAACCCTGATCCTAATCTTCACCTTAAAGCATATTTTAAATTTGCAGTTTCAGAAGTGATGCAAGACATAGTGGTTGAGTTCTGTGTACAGTACTGTATGTGTGCACACTATAGCAATGGAAGGGGGGCATGAAACTTTTGGTGCTTTATCTCAATAAACTTCCTGAATGTGCATTAACAGTGATACAATCCATGCTAAATCTTCAAACCTATTTTTGAATGTAAAATTAAAATTAAAAAGTTATTTTAAATGACCTTACACAACGTATCCGAGATCTAAACATGTCATCCATGCATTGTGCTGAGGGAGATTTTTGTCACATGTTGTTAATCATATCTAAACCCACCAACCAATGAACATCTTTGAACACTGTAGTACAGAACTCAATTCTTCACAGTCTCCATTGCCATAGGCTAGTGCTGATTAAAACCTTTTTCTCTCAGGAGCGCCAGCACAAAATTACAGCTACAACAAAAGGTCAAGCAAGGCCCTGCAGCTATCAGGTCACAGATCTGCATTGATTAAGAGGCTGTCAAAGGCTCTGTTAATTTTATCCTGTCTGAAAACCATAGAAAAAAACTCCTTATACAGTACATTGGGTGAGAGAGCAACTATTTACTGAAGTCTAAAATATTATTCACATGTTCATACCTACTGTATACTCTTCTAACAAGCATAAATCATAATAATATACTGTATAGTACAGTGGCTTGGTTCATGTTAATATTATACATTATACAAATGTTTCTTTCTTTAAAAAAAACATCATACATTGTTTTTTATCATGTACCCTTTCAGTGGAAATCACCAGTTGTTTTAAGACTTGGCTCTGTTAATGGCTCTCCAGCAGTAACTCAGGTTTAACCGTTGCAGATCTGAATAATCCCATAAATAATCAACAAAGTTCTGATGATTGTGGACTACAATTATTTTTTATCTAAAATCATTGTCATATATAAAGTATAAAATAAATATATATACTGTAATACTATAAATTCAAGTCACTACAAGACTGTTATGACTATAAAATTACATAGAACAATCCACATATTTTAGAACTCAGAACAATGTAAAGTGTCCAACCATCTACAAAAATCTCCCCGTCGCATCCTTCTATTAGAAATGCATCATTAACACTCGAGAAACAAAAAAAATGCAGGAATTTTTGCAGTTTGTTTTAAAGTACGTTGTAGAATATTAAATACACTCATCCATTTATTTACTCAGACGTATCAGTGTATCCCCTTTATAAAAGGCAAATCTTCGGGTGTACAGAATTACACCATAGGTGCCTTTGTGGCTTTACTTTCTGAAAGACGTTAAAACAAAATGCCTCTGTGTTTAGAAACCAGAGTCATGGGAACTGCCGGTCCAGAAAGGCTGCGCTACTACTGTTTTTCAAGGTGTCCAAAACTGAGAGATGGGCTAAGAGAGGCTCTAGGAACACTGTCATTTACAAAGGGCAACAGCAGCATTTGGAATTGTAGTGGAGCTCACATAAAACAGCATACAATAAAACATCATACTGGAAACTATAAAAATTACCACATACTGTACATTTTTTAAAGTATCATTTACCTCACAAAGTGGTGATATTGTCTTTTGCAGCTCTGAAAATTTTTTTTAGATCTTAAACTTGATTTTTACCTTATGCTGATGTACTGTAGTGCCGAATATTTGTCACATCTTGTTAATTGCTCACATGCCATCAAAATTCAGAAACCAGCACTCTGTATCAGGAAATAGCTTGTTTTTTTGACAAACTACAGAAAGATAACTGCCAAGTGATTGTGTTTGTAAGACATGTCAGCTTTAAAGGAGCTCTTGTTTCTTCATACCTGTCTTTTGATTTTCCTAAGATGGCAGAGTGACCGAATGCCTATGCTTGTTGTTGCCACTCCCCTTGAGACGTGGAGCCCAGTGTGTCCTTGGGCAGAAAGGATCCAGAGGCAGCACGTGTCAGTATTTTATTTTTTGCTGTACCATGCAATTCTGTTACTCACCCCTGTCTTCTCATCAAAGATTTTGATCCCTCCAAAGGAGACAGTTAAAAAGACTTTCTGCTTGTGTTCTCCTTTAGAACGAGCTGCAGCAGCAATTCCCTGTAGGGGAAAAAAAAAACAGCAACAACAACAGAAAATCAAGATTTTTTTTTTCTCCTCCCTTGAGATGACAGGTGTTATGTTATGGTAGTGATATGTTTTTATAACAGCACAAATAGTTTCAGTACATACAAAAAAGTATGAATGTACAGTAGATAATAATAATAATTATCATTGCTTACACTTATATAGCACTTTTCTGGTCACTCCACTCAAACCCCACCAATGTGCAGCATCCACCTGGATGATGCGACAGCAGCCATAGTGCGCCAGAACGCTCACCACACACCAGCTATCAGTGTGGAGGAGAGCAGAGTAATGAAGCCAATTCATAGATGCTACAGAGACTACAAGAGTAGGTTACACCCCTACTCTTTTCGAGAAACACCCTGCGATTTTTAATGACCACAGAGAGTAAGGACCTTGGTTTATTACGTCTCATCCGAAGGACGGACCTGCTTAATATACTGGGGCATTAGAACCCACATAGACCGCAGGGTGAGCGCCCCCTGCTGGCCCCACTAACACCTCTTCCAGCAGCAACCTTAGTTTTTCCCCAGGAGGTCTCCCACCCAGGTACTGACCAGGCTCACACCTCCTTAGCTTCAGTGGGTTGCCAGTTGTGAGTTGCAGAGTCTTATTGCTGATGGCTTTACAGCACACAAATTAAATCTGAGGTGTGAGCTGGCAGACCATTTTTTAAAGCACCAGAATGAACTTTGTATGATTTTCACACATACAGTACGTTTCACCAAATGGATGGTGAAGGAATGTTTTTAGGGGACTTTCTGTGCAAACATTATCAGTAATTACTGTTACTATTAGTTAATAAAGAGCAGAAGATTAACTCTTTAAATTGGCCAATATCTGGAAAGTATGGAAAACATAAAAATTAATGTATCATTGGAGAAGTTATCTGTCTCTATTAATCGAAAATCTGCTTTTTTATTAAGGGATTCTCTTTCTAACTTCAAAGACTGATCGACTGTGACCTCTGGCCTCCAAAGAATAGTATGCAGTTATTGACTAAGACATTTTTCTTGATGTGACTATGGACAGAGAGCAGATATTAGCTGTACACCACTGGAATAGCAGAGCTTTGAAGTCCAAGTGTCTGTAAGATTATTTAATAAACAATCTTTTACGTTACGGCATACTGAGCTTTTTACATGATAGCGGTGTAACATACCCGAATCTGTATGTGCAGATCTGTATCTGTATCTGAATATGCAAAGAGGTTGCAGCACAGCAGATGAACTGATTAGAAAAAATTAATTATATAATATTATATGAATTAATATAATAATACATAGAATACTTTTAATTAATGTAATATTAATAGCATAATCGTTATGACTTATTGTTACTACCTAGTAAGGTTTTTTTGAACATTTATATTGTTTTCTGCGCAAAAAAACTGAGGAACTGAACAAATTAGAACAATTTCTATTGAAATTGATCATCTACTGATGCCAAAGCTGTCTATTATTGCTGTTTTGATGAGTATTGCTTTCCGCATACAGAGAGAAAGATCTATAGTATCCCCATTACAAGAAACAGAGAACTCTCTCCAGTTTAACATTAAAAGTACAAAATGGAACAATTTCAAATTTATTTGTTAATTCTGTGGAGGTGGAGAAACTTTCAAACGAGACACTAGGTCTGATGGACCAAAATTGACCCCAGACATCCTGGCCTTTATAATACATTGTGGAAACACAGCAGACAACCAACCCACTCCATAACAAATGACTTACATTGACAGGTGGACTCCACTCTAGCCATCACAGAAAACTATGTCCCTGGTTTGATTTTGTGACAGAGCTGGAGGCTTTGATTTGCAAGAAAACGTCAATTGGTGCAGTTTTTTATTTGTTAAAGAGCATATTTCAAAACATCTGATTAACAGTCTTTGTAAAGGATCATTTATTCTAGGCTATAACCAACAGACGTCAGAGCTAAAGTGTTAGTGGATGAATATTCATGACAGCATGACAGCCCACACAGCATGGGTGCCTACCTTGAGCTTCATCATAGAGTCCTGGCATAACTTGTCCCCCCGTGCAGCTGTGACTTCATCAATCCCAATCAGCTTGGCCTTGTACCGGATACCATCCCCTTTGAAGCGTTTAATCAGCCCTGCTTCACTGCGATCCTGACCTGCAGAAAAACCACAGACATAATAAAACAGTGTTTTAAATCCCTGGGCATAAGCCTGGGTTTCATACCAATAACTCATGCAATCATGGGCTTCTGCACAGAAGACATTAAAGTTCACAATGATCAAACTTCTACAAAAAAAGGTATTCACCTACAAAACATTTACGATGAAATTATTTACCCCTCAAATGTTTTAAAATGTTAATTTTCCTGCCATTTTTCAACATATTTTTCACTTTGGACTAACAAAGGATTCAAAGAAAGACACGTGTCTTAAGTACTGTATATTACAATAATAAGAATAAAGTTGCCTTTTTGCACAGTGTGGCAACAACTTTCAGGTCAGTGAACAGAAGAAATGAAAGATACAAGTAGAGATAAAACAGTTACAATTGGCATAGTGTTTTTTAAAGTCTTAAATACAGAAGCATCTGATCTGAAATAATTTTGCATATTTGGAACCTTTAACATATTCTTTGTATTTTTTAGGAAACTGATATGTTTATTAGGTACAATTTGAAGCTAGTGCTCATGTATAGAGTAGAGATGACTAAAGCAATCGAGTTTAAGATCTCACTCACTACATTAGTGTTATAATTGGAGACTAGATTTTAATGGGACAAACCAATACCTTGTACTACTTTCTTTATAAAAGGTGCAATTATATTGCATAGTTAAATATAATTATTTGTTATTTCTAGTTAACTAATCTTAGTTCCTGAGAGGTCAAAGACTAGATTTGAGAAGTACATTAACACTTTCACATGTATTCTGGCTTTACAGCCATGAATCTGGGGTGACATTTCACCTGCCAGACCTTGTGCAGAACCTCAATAAATTTCTGACGGCTGTTTCTGTGTGATGGATGTTGGGGCCCTGAGGTGATGCAGTTCTGATGGTCTGAACCCTGCTTTTAACAGATCAGCCTGGGTGTCTTGGTCCGTGGCAGATGGGTGACACTGACAGCAACCATCTGATCTGCAACACGTGAAAAGGGCACGGATCATAGAAAACCTCATGGAAAAGCTCAGCGGACTCTGCAACACAATGTCTGCAGGGTACATGGATGCTGCACCCAGACAGAAAAGCGTTGAAAACTGGTGCTTCATCAACAGATTTGGCTAAAGTCAGGCCTGACACCAAGGCTTTCTTTGGTGTGGTTGATATTTTTTAGCTCCCCTTGAGCAAAATATTCAGATGAAAATTTGAACAGATGAGCAAGCTTGTATTACTGGATTCAGACAAGGCTTCAAGGTTTTGCATTCTGAACATTTAAGTATACAGTCTATTTTATTAATTCACTCCAATAGAAAGTGTTTATTTCTTAATTTGTTCTGCTTGAATAAATAACTTTACACTTGCTGATATTAGTCACAAAAACTGGGAATAACATTGGTGAGTGGAAAAGGAAAGTATTTTCCTGCAATCTCCAAGTACTGGTTTCATTTACCTTGTTACAGCAGGATGATCACGTTTTAAAAATAAGATGTTACAAATTGAAGCAGATAAAAATCACATGGTGCCAACTTGTGCGGATAATTTTATTGGTATTGAGGGGATGCCTGTCTTGGAATGCTAACCACTGCTCAGTTATTGCACCAAGTGCTGCTTCAAATGGGCAAAGATGCATGCAGCGGGAGATGGCTTTTTGACAGCAGAATTTAGAGCAGAAACAGTTAATACAGTGCGGAGCCCCAACGTGTAATAAAGCGATCAGAGGAAGAATGCTGGCGCTCATTCAGTGCAAATACATCAAAGAATCCCCTTTACCCATATACTTTCTAAAGACCAGTCGTCTTTGTTAGTACTGCCACATCCATCATTATTTACTCTCTAAATCATGATTGGTGTTGAATGTGCATTAAGATAAATTGCTCTTTAAGATAAAGTGAAATTAGGAACCTTCTGGCTAAAAGAGTGGCATGTTTGTTCAGAATGTGACAATTTATTTTACCTGGTAAAGCAAAAAGGATGAAGCCTTCACAAAATTGCCATCATTAAACCCTTAGTTAAAACAGCACAGTGCTGTGCCAGTATCTTAACCTATTTTGCTAATTGAATTGCCTTCCACAGCCAGGACTGTGTGAAATGAGAAGACTAGAGCTCTGAATAAGCAATTGAAGGAAATGCTTATTACAGGTGAAGAGAAAGTCGATTCATTGAGGTCAACAAAAGTTTAGCTTTATAATCCAAGGATAGAAGCAAATTAATATTCAGGAAGGCATGTTTCAAAAGGGCACATTTTCAGCCATATGCTCAGAAAGTCACACACAAAGATGTGTGGCAAAGGCACATTAGGAAATTATGTACACAGATTCAAATGAGGAATGTTTTGAGAATCACAGAAATACTGTACACTGATTAAATGTAAAGTTCTAATTCTGTGTTTCAAAAAGAATGAAAATCTATACAGATAATAAAGTATTTTTAACTTAAAAATAATTCATTGTCTAAGAAAAGATGAAAAAACATTATTGAATCATTATATTTTTATTATATTGGTGCAATTAAACATTGAAAGCATTCTCTGTGTTAATAAGTGCCTTTGATGTAACATGGTCTGATTTGATGAAAAACGAACAGTTAAGGAAAACATTATTCAGCTACTTAAAAAATAAAATCTTGACTATCACCTTTAATCATGCAGGATAATTAAATCTGTTTTGAATTTTCCAGAACTTAATAAAAATGAATGAAGGCCCTCCTCAGGCTAAGCTCTATGATCATAAACCTGGTAATGTTGCTAGTCCTCTCTGACAGGGATTCTAAACAAAGACATTCAGCTGCTGAGTGCCATCAAGGATAGGCTTGTATTAGTGTTCTTTTGGCAACAAAGGGATTCCAGAGGCCCTGCGACCACCAAGGATCTTGTTAACATGCAGAGATTAAAAACACACAACTGGCTAATTGGGTGAGTAGAACAAAAATAATTGGTGATTCTAGATTATAAATCTATATCACCATAACACTTTCTTTAAATAATCGAGCCATTCCAGATATTCTCTGATGGAAAGCAACAGGCCAACTGTTAATGGCCATCAGCAAGTGACTTATGGAACACCATTCTGGGCTATGTCATTGTCAATTTGAAGCTATTTGCTCAAACCACAAAGCTCTTATTGCAACTTATGGCCCCTTTTTGTGCTTACAAACCTCAGTGAAAGACTGCTAATGAAAGTCAGCACAGTCACATAATTGCAGCATCTTTTCAGTCAATAGCATGCCTGAAGTGTATGATGTCCCAAAGGATAGAAAAGCTAGATTCTATTGTGTGGTGAGCTCACTCAGTGTCCCGCCCTCTCTGTCAAATCTCTGTGACAGCATGACACTGTTGTCTTATCTTGTCTCTCTTTTCTTTATACTGTAGCTTCTCGAGTGCCCTTCATTTTTATGTATCAGTAATGGTTAAGCACAGCCTTTATTTGTATAATTTGTGGTCTGCAACTAATATCATAACAGGAATACACCCTCGCCAATAACTCCCTCATCGCAAAAGAATTGACAGTTTACTGTCTTATGAGTTCTAAATGCTTTAAGACAAGACAAAAACTTATTTGATGACATTACTGAGATTGACAGTGCTTGACAGTGGTTGAAATATGGGTTCCGACAAAAGCTCCCCAGGTGTAAAACCATGTTAATTGCATATTACTAAATAATTAATTTGAAAATTAGTATGGAGTATGATGGAATACTACCACTGCATTATAAAATCAACGCCAAACAATTTTTAAGTATTTCTTATAAGTATTACACTATTTGTTTAAACAGTAATGTCAGGTGTCAACAAATATCACAAACTGTTCTCCATCAAAACATCAAAAGAAACTTATCATTTATATATGTTCATATACGTTCATTCAAATATGTTGTTAGAAAAGAATTACAGATTTTGGATGTTGATTACATGTTTTTAGTATCATTTTGATCATTGATGACTCGCTGTGATACACTAGTGTGGCTAGCTGTTGCATAATCTCGAAATCATTTTATTCGTGAGACAGTTCACTGGGCACAGGTGATAAGGTGATTTAGGTGTTTTAGCCTTTTTAATATTGCATCTGGTGAATATTTAAAAAAACTAAATAGAAATAAATACAGTATATCCTACTTATCAAGAAAGAAAAGCCTTTACATCATAATTAAGTTGAAGGCTGGACTTACCTCAAGAGAACTCATCAGCAGTGGTGCATCTTTCAGGGGTTTTGTGAATCAATGTTTTGTGCAGGCTACCCTGAGATGGTGTAGTCAAAGCAGGTTTGACTGTTCTCTCCAGAACACCACTGGTAGTGATTAATGGCAACCAGACTACACAGTGCAACATTGATCATGTCTTTCTTACTGCCCTGCTTGTGAGTTCATTCTAACATATCATTCTGACTTGTCTTCACACTGCTACCTAAACAAAGGCTTTTCCGGTGAGATGGGAAATATGAAATATGCTGTAGATTCCTATAACAGATCTCCCTTGATGGTAGCCAAGCATAAGGAAATTTTGCTACATTAACCCATCTGTGAATCGTTTAAAGGCAGCATAAAGATTGAAGTTGCTTCTTTTAACCAGGTTTTAACCTTAAGTCAGTCCGTAGCTTACCTAACCTCTTTCTATCTTATGACTGAATAGCAATGGAAGTCACCCTGATCTGGTCAATTTTGTTTAGGTCGATACTCTCTATAAACATATTTTTTAGTTACCAGCAGGCCAACAAGGAAACAACTAAGTCTGCTTCTCTTTTGTTATCTTCCTCACTCTTAGTCACTTTAAATATCTGTGTCTAGGAGACCACTACACTTGCTCCTAACCTTGGGAGCCTTAACTTCTAATGAGTTGTCTCCCCTGAGACTGAGCTTCTCCTGAAGCTCCAAACGTGTCTCAGTCACCTAAGCGCAAATGGTTAGATGCCTCACTGCAAGACTGGCTTTGGCTGAGAAAGCCTTGTTCTCCCCCAGAACATGCTGTCTGTAGCATTGTCCCTTTGGGATTGTTGGTAGAACCCACC